CCCCTCCCCCGCGGCCAAAGTCAACGCGGGGCGCGGGGACGGCCGGGGTCCACCTGCGCCCGCCCTGCCCAGCCGCTCTTGCCTCGGGCCGCGCCTCTACCCCGGGAAACTCGAGTCCCGAATTTCCTCGGAACGCGCCCCGGTGGCCGCTGCCAACGGATGTGACGAGGCTCCTCTGGAGGGGGAAAGTTTCGGGAACCCTTAAAGGGGCAGCGAGGGCCCGAAGTAGCCCCTGGCCCCGCGCGCTAGGGGACCCGCGGGTGTCCCCTCGCCCCGCAGCGGCGGGGGCTGGCGGAGGTGACTGGGGCAGCCGAGAGGAGAGTAGCGGATCCCCGAAGAGCCGCGAGCCCCGCAGCGAGTGGACGAGCCTGCGCCTCCCCGCGCCAGGACGTCTCTGGCCTCCCTGCAGCCCACCCGGGTCTGGCGCTCGTCGAGGCATTTCCCGTGAGCTGACCCCCAGCCCATTCTTGCCCATCCTCCTTCGTCCCCACGGCGGTCCCCGAGTGATTTTGAAGAGGCCCGGGTGGGGAGGCTGGGAGGGTTAAGGGTTGGGGGAGGCAGGCTAGGACGCGAGAGCTTTGGAGAATTTTCCCTAGAAATCCAGGGGGACATGGGGGGCCCGAGCCTCGGTTCTCCCCTCTCGTGCCCTCCGTCACCCGCTGGGGAGGCGATGCGCGCAGCTGGCTGGAGCCTGGGCTTGGCCCCACGCTTGTCCGTAATGCAGACAAGACGGTGCGAAGAGCTGCGCGCTCTCCTCCCCCGGGGGTCCCGTCGGTGCATCTAGTAAGTTGGTATCAGGAAACGAAATCAGGGCGCCGAGTCCACCCCGTTGCCATCCTGCCCCTCCCCGTCTGCTCTCTGCGGACTATCTAATTAATTCTTGTTTAGCCATAGACACAGGACCGCAGAAATGCGTTCAGTAATGCAAGCCATTAGGGTTATTTTATTTCAGGTACGAAACGCAGGAGGGACGATTACACTAGCTTAAGTCCATCGATTTCTACTGCAACAAGGAGTAGAAAAATCTTTTCACCTCCTCCCGCTGAATTATGTTGGCTGTTTTGAAAAACAAGAAAGCCCATCGCAAACAGTGGGGACATAGAAGCCAAGCTTTCCTTCTCACTGCAACTTCCAGCTACTTCTACTCAAGATTTGACTTTTATTCCTGTCTTTGCAGTTCTAGAATTACTTCTGGCTCTGCAAGGGTCCCTTATGTCAGATATCTTCAGCTGTATTGATTTTTAGATGACTTTAACTGTAAATCACATTTTCCCCAAACTTTAACACAGTTTTAACAAATCCCCAGCTTTAACAAATCCCCAGCCACACAAAGAAAGTTGGGTCCCTTGATATAACACAAATTGATATTCCCCTTAAATCTGCATAATTATTCCAGAGCTATTACATTATTATATTCACATTTCAAATTTAAGGTTGTAGAGGAAGTGTAGTTTTAAAAGAAATGATTATTTATATTCCTCGGTGTCCAGTCTTGAGGGGTTCAAAAGACATTCAGACAGCTCTCAGAAGAATATAACCCTGGCAAAGAGCACATGGAATTTATTAAGGGCATTAATATAGGGGCTATGTGATGTATAAGTTAATTATGAGAGACATTTGCTCTCTCTAATAATTAAAACCATAAGGGACATTTTTAAAAAAATCAACTCTAATTAAGGTTTTTACTTGAAACTCCTGACTCTACCTAATGTGAGTATTCCTGAGCCTTTCATTTTAAAAGAGATGGTTCAGGTTTGTGGGTAAACAGATGCATGAGGATGCAGGGACCAGGGATGCATGCAGTATTAATGGGTGATGGAGCTGTCCTGTCAAAGTAACGCAAGCCAAAGTGATGGCGTTTGGTGACTGTCTCCTCGGTTGTCTCTAGTTTTATGAATGCTCTCAGAGCTCTTGATCCCTACTTGGGACTCTGGGGCTGGCTGGATTTGGGAAGCAGTTATTTTACCTTCCAGGGGTTTGAAGTGAAGTAATACGTGACCGTCCTCTCCTGGGATGTTGGGTTTTTTTTTTTTTTTTTATGTCAGCCTTCATCAGCCTTGAAACACTTCCCCAGGAAAGAATCTCCTTCCCACAGTATTGCTGAGTAATGCAGGAGAGAGGGAAGGGAAGATGAGACCCAGGCTCCCTGACAGTACCCCCAAGTCTTCTTCACACTGGCCTGCACCCCTCCCCACCTGCCTCCTCCCCCTGCTCCTCACTGCCCCTGGAAGAACCTCCATTTTCAGCCACAGACTTCCATGGTTCTCTCAGAAAAACCAAAGCCCTGGGCCGGCCCGGTGGCGCACTGCTACGGTGCGCCACTTGGGAGTGCAGCGGCGCTCCCGCCGAGGGTTCGGATCCCACGTACAGACCGGCCGCTCACTGGCTGAGCGAGGTGCGGGCGCAACACCAAGGGTTGCGATCCGTTGCCGGTCACAAAAAAAGACAAAAAGGAAAAAAAAAAAACAAAAAAACAAAGCCCTACCATTAGGTGGTCCCTCACACCTTGGAAAGAATGAACATGGTCATTGAGCATGTCCCTGGACAGTGGAGGGTGAGGAACGGTCTCACTCCCAGCCCAAGGGACCAACCAAGCACTCCTTGGAGGAGAGCGTGGCTCTCAACCGGAAGTGCTGAAGTGGGTGAGCTCCACTGGTGTTCGCTAGCTCCTACTCCTAGCTCCCAGTTCCTTTTACAGCAGCACTTCTCAAACTTTCTGGTCTTGGGATCCCTTTACACTCCTAAAAATTATTGAGGACCCCAAAGAACTTTTGTTGATGTGACTCATACATATCAATATTTACCAAATTAGGAATTAAAACTGAGAAATTTTAACAAATAAGTAAAATTTGCTTAAAAAAACAGTAACAAACTTATTACAAAGTAATACAAATAACATTTTAATAAAAACGATATTTTTCAGAAAAGTCTCAGTGAGAAGAGTGGCATTATTGTACATGTTTGTAAATCTCTTTTAATGTCTGGCTTAACAGAAGACAGCTGAATCCTCCCATTGGCTTCTGCTTTTAGTCTGATAGGCTTTCACACATCCTGAAGCCTCTGGAAAATTCTATCCAACAGGCATGAGAAAATGAGAGTGAAAAGGGCAAATAACATTTTGTATTATCTGAAAATAGTTTTGAGCTAAAGGACCCCCTGAAAGGGCCAGAACTCCTCTTTGCGAATGGCTGTTGTGTACTATCCTTCATAGTGTCTTAGTCATTTTCAGCATAAAATGAGTCCTATGTATCAAGCGCTGTGTCAACAACTGGGACGGAAAGGTCAGATAAGATCTGGTCCTCGCTCTTTACTTTGCAGATTAGATGAAGGCGCATCTTTCCTCTTTGTCTATCCCAGCACCTCCCTGACTTTGCAAGAGGACGCCAGTCACCTGCAGCCTGGTGGAAGCTTATCAATTCATCTCTTCTTTCTTCTGAAACTCCATTTTCTGCCTGCCTTGGGGATCCTTCTCTGCAACTTGTAAACATACTGAAGTTCCAACTTCTCTTCTTTTTTAAACCTTACTTGATCTTACCCCTTGATCTTACTGCCCCATATCTCCTTCCGTTTATGGTCATACTTCTTGAAAGTGTTATTTACATTCCTTATCTCAATTTTCTCCTCCTTCACTCACTCCTAACCCTCAAAATTCTACCCACAAATTGACAGGCTATGTAGATATTTCTCAATCTTTATTCTTATTCAGCTCCTCTGCAGCATTCCACAGTGGTGACTACGTGCTATTCCTGTGAGTTCATGTCCCTTAGAATCACAGAGGAGATCTTACCTGTGCCTCTCCCTAGAGGTTCCCATTTAGTTGGTTTGGGGTGGGGTTCCAGAATCACTAGTTTTTAAAGCTCCCCAGGTGAAACAGGAATTTGAGCATGGGAGAAATGAGATACAGATTGAAGAGGTTCAGGAGCCTTGTGGTCCTGAATTGATTTGGCAATTTCAGTATGCATTCCTGAGGTCTTTTATAATTTAAAAAAAAAATTCTTTGCTGTGTCTATTGAAAAGT